AAGGATTTTGTAAGGGAAACGAAAACACATAAGTTGGTGTGTGGGAACAAGGAATTCAAGTAAGCAGCGACTTGCCACCTGCAGATGTGGATTTTTGGTTCCTTTCTGGTTTGTTCTCTTCTCTGGTGCTTTAAAATATGATAGTGCGTTAGAAAGAGGCCATGGATAATCAGAGCTTCTGTTCATTAAGCTCTGCCATGTGCATGGTACCACGTCACCTAGTTGAATCCCCACTATGGCCCTGTGAGTTGTGGGTGCTGTTATCACCATTAGACGGATGAGAAAACTGAGCTGGAGACAGGTAAAATGATCTTGCTCAAGGTGACCCATTAGCAAGTGGCTGAGTCAGGCTGTGAACTGAGGCAGTCGAGCCCAGAGCTTGGTTCAGATCCACACTGCTCTGCAAAAGCCCCTAGTCGGTCTCTCTCTCCCAGGTAGAGCAGGTGAGACCCCAAGGCTGCTGGGGTACACTGGGACGCAGGAGACACCACCCTAGCTCTGTGCTTCCCTGGTCCTCATGGCATCTCTAGAAACTGCAGGTGGGCGAGGAGGAGTAGGAACGAGCATGTGTCGTCTCAAACAAGATCTCTTCCCCTCCCTTCCTGCCTGAAGCGAAGCCCTTTATGAGTAAGAAGAGATGGAGAGAGGCCAACACAAAGCAGCAACACTGGCCCAGACATTCCCATCGCAGTCCTCAAAACACCAGATCAGCCGAGGGTAAGGACAGAGGTAGACGAGCAGACGGAGGGTATGGAAATAAAGTCAGACCAACTCTGGGGTAAATCTCCCTTCCACCACGCCTAAGGCTGTGTGACTTTGAACAGGAGAGTTAACCCTTCTGAGCCTCAGTTTCCTTATCTGTAAATGGGGGATTAGCAGAATGTTCAGCATATAGTAGAACCTGAACACATATTAGTGTTATCATGTATACATTGTTAAATGCACTCAGATGACATATGCAATACAGTAAATATACACTGTTGTACAGAAGTATAACATGCAATTGTATAGGAACAATAAGGAATCAAACATGCAGTGGGTCTCGCTCTGGGAAAGGTGAGGGAAGGGGCCCTGATGTTCATTCTGGTTTTTATCCCCCATGGTGCCACCTACAGTACAGCCCTCTACCGTCAGCAGGGCTCAGGAAGTTTATGCAGGAAAACTAGGATAGACTGCCGGTTCCTACATCTTATCCCAACTTCAGCCAGTCAAGGCAGCAATTTTCCATATTCCAGAAGGGCAGCACTGCCCCAAATGTCCCCATTTAATGGGATTATTCCTCCTCCTTTATAAGCCATACCTCATGGGAATTTTCATTTTATCTCTGGCAGCTCACTAGTACAGTACAGTAATTGTTTCACGATGTAATAACCCATGTATTAAATCAGACACGGGAACCTCCTTGAAATATTATTATACCGAATTCTCTTCCATAACATGCAGATCGGTTTTGGATCTCAACCAAGGAGATGAGTAACCAAAGAACCAAAAGCTTTTCATTAAAGGTGTTTTCTCCTACAAGAGGAGAGGGGTTATTTTTATTGTTATTATTTCATGGCCCAAAAGGTTATGGGTCTACATTTTCAGTTTCAATAGCACTTACACTTCCTAACACACTGCATCACTTACGTTTTTATAAGGTTCATCATTTCCTCCTGTCCCCACGCTGCAACATAAGAGGTCAGGACTCCTAGTCTATTTTCTTCACTATTGTTTCCCCATCATCTAGAATAGTGCCTGGAATATAGTAGGTGCTCAATAAGTATTGTTCAATTAATGAACAAATTGAAGCATATTTTAGAGCACTTCTCTTTTGATAAGCAACCACAGTTAAGCCAAAGACGTATCTCATTAGAAATTCAGTTAAACCTCATCTATTTCCTTTTTTTATTCTTTTCCTTTTACTTTTTCTATTTACTCTGATAGATTTTTCAGTAGATCAGAACACACCTCCAAAAATCAGGACTGAATCATGCACAAAGGACACAGATTTAAGAGCATCCAAGTACCCCTGACACTAAGATGCTTTAGGGAACATTTTGCTCGAAACAAGGGGACTTGGCTCCACGCCTTCACCTGGGGCAGGATTTGCTCACTTACAGAGGCAGGTGTCTCCACCACAGTCAAGCAGGGGACAACAGGGGACCAAGAAAAAATGGACACCCAGCATAAAATTCAGATTCATGAAGCGTGAGGACTGAAAGGTAATTTAGTCCAAACCTCCCATTTTTCGGATGGGAAAACTGAGGATCCAGGAAAGCTAAGTGGTTGTCCAAGTGCACAGAGCAATGAGAGCTCAGCTGGGAGAAGAAGCAGGTCCATTCCCTTCCCTTCCCTTCCCTGTCTTTCCTGGCGTGCGCATGACTGCGTGTGTCAACTCTTAAAAACAGGATGTTTTAAAAGAGCCCCAGTCAACAGCTCATCCATACTTTGACTCAGGGATGTTGGTGATTTAACATCACTAACTTCTCGGTCCTCCCCAATGACTTAGATCCCAAATTTCTCATTAATGACTCAAGAGTCTTAAAGATGTTCTGAGTTGAAAGAACTTCGGGACCATCTAGCCTATCCTTTATTTTGCAGATGAAAAACAACAGGCCGAGTAAAGAAAAGTGAGCTCCCGGGTCACACAGCCAGTTAACATCTACAACGAGGCTGTCAACTTGGGACACTTCTCAGGTTTGTAGGTGGCTCTCGTGGCCTCATCATGCTGGCTGGACAACCCAATCTAAGCAAGTACATCTCAGATCAAGGATGAAAACTTTTCCATTGAGTGAGGGAATATAATTCTAATGAGAAACGGGACACTTCTCAGGTTTGTAGGTGGCTCTCGTGGCCTCATCATGCTGGCTGGACAACCCAATCTAAGCAAGCACATCTCAGATCAAGGATGAAAACTTTTCCATTGAGTGAGGGAATATAATTCTAATGAGAAAAGTAGTAGAAAACAGAATCCTTATAGGACATAGACTCACACACACGCACACACATGCATGTCTGTGCATGTGACTACCACGTACGTTTATATAAAAGATGCTTATTTTTTAAATACTTGTACTTGACTCTAGGTATACAGTAAATTCACAGTGTTAGCTAGCAAGGACATTAAAACGTGTTGCTAGTGGAAGCATATCTTGACACATTTTTGGAAAGTTATCCATCAGTCTCTAAAATACACATATTCTTTGATCCAGCAATTCCTCTTCCAGGAACCAGGAATACCTAAAGAAACAACTGTACAGCTAAATGGATAAGAATGCTTATTAAACCATTGTTTATAGTGGCAAAAAAAGGAAAAAGAAAACATTCAGGTGGTCTATTGTTAGGGTTATGGCTGAATATACTGTGATACAAATCAATTACAGAATTTTCTGTAACTGTTATAAAATGAATTATTACAGAGCTGAAGGGATGCCCATCATGTGTCAGTTGGTAAGAAAGCTACATTGCTGTGCAATGTGATTATTTGATACAATTTCTTATACAAATACCACCACCTCACCATCATTATATGTGCACATCCACGTTTGTCTGTGTGGAATGAGCATGCAAGATACGGAAGCCTGTTAACAATTGGCATTTCAGGGAAAAGCAGTGACAGACAAAGGGGAAGAAATGATTAACGTTTTCTTTACACATCTTTGAATGTTTTCACTGATTACAATACTTTAGGGAA